ATGTGAGTTTCCACCACAAACAGAAGAGCCGTTGCAGAAGGAAGGGCACTGGCACAAGGGCTGTTGAATTCAGCATCGGCCTAGTGCCTTTTTATCTTCGGTGCTTGGGCTTGGTTGTGGAGGTGTCGGTCCCAGATGTCCGACGGTATTGGTGTCGATTGTTTGTTCCATGCCTGAGCCCAAGCTGTAGGTTTTCGCTCCAGGTCCATTTTGGGTGGTCCTGGGCTCGAGAATCGACCCCCCAAAGGTCGAGACGCAGGGGGAAACCCGCGGGACCGCACAAGCACAGTCATTCCCTCGCAGGCCTGGGTGAGGTTCTGCGTTGGGTTGCTCCGAGGAGGAGGAGGAACAGGTGCCCATGCTGGTATACCCTTCCCTGGTGTTCCCCTCTCTGGGCCTCCTGGGAGGCCCTCGTCGCCACCGCCGGGTTCGCCCCGAAATGATGGTCGCAGCGCACCCCGGGAGGGGTCCGCGGAGCAGCGGTGTCGGTATCTCTTCCTGGCTTCTCCAGAGGCGGGCCTCCCGTGCGCCGCGGGGCCTCCGCAGCTCCAGGCCGTCCGAGGCCAGCAGGTCAGCATGGTCTCTCCGTTGATTTGACTGCCTGCGGCCTTGCATCCCTTCAGGAGGGACAAAAACACACAGACACAATTCATTGTCGATTCCCCAGGAGATATGGGAAAAGATGGGGAGTGGGGGGGAAGACAGAAATCCAGAAAATATGTGAAAATGTGGGGAATCTTTTTGTTTGTGTGTATTTATTTGTGTGTCCTGGGGCCTCTTCATCCCTTGCGGACGCGTGCAGTGGAGGCCCATGCCAAGGAACACTCTGCTCGCCTCCAAAGGTGCCGTGGGTTTCCTGGGTTTCGATGCTTTGGCTCTGGTGAGCGCGGAGTTCCCACACCAAAAAACAATGGACGTCCTGGAGTCTCAGGGTCGGGCTTCTCGTGGAAGGTTTCTTGTTGAAAAGGGCCCCTGAGCAAAACAAACAAAGCGCCCTCCCCAACAATGCACTACCCTTCTGCCTCGTTGCGCGCCGAAGAGAAGCAGGTAACACCGCCACCTAGAACCCAGCGGGCTGACAAACGCTGGACCGTCGTGCGGTCCGTAACGGGTGACGCACGGGGGCGCAACCACCTTGGACTGTTCCCCCCTCTTGTGGGCCTCTTGGGGCCTCCTGGGGGCCTCTTGGGGCTGGAGGCTGGACTTTTCGGTTCCTGGTCCCCATCTTGGGCCTCTCTTGGGGCCGTGTTTGGGCCCTCTTTTGCAGTCGTGGGGCCCTCTTGAAGGCTTCTTGGGGCGGTCTTGGAGCCTGACGGGCTCTCGCTGGGGGTTGTCTTTGCGTCTCCTCTGAACATCTTCCGGCACCATCGAGATCGCTGCCGTACATCAGCCCCACCAGTTCACCCCTCCAGGTGGGGACAGGTCCCGCCAAAACCCGAAGGGAAATGAACGGCAGTATCCCATCTCAGGGGGAGTGAGTCGGCCAGTTAGCGACAGGGCCACGCCCGTGGAAGCGGGGATCGGTGACACGATGCTCCATAGCACCGCCGATGCGCATCGGCGATGCCGTGCTATCCTCCGACCAAGGCCACCCTGGCCCATCACCCTTCACATGTGCGGGCCAGGAGGGGGGGAAGTCAGAAGGAGACGGCCTTCCCAGAAGGCTCGGAATCCCCCCGGCCTTCTGAGAAGCTTGCTAGAAGCCTTCCCTGAAGGCGCAGAGTACCTCTCGGGAGGCCGAAGGTCCTCTGAGAGGCCCCGCCGCCGTCTGAGAGGGCCTTCTCCGTCTCACTTCCCCCCCTCGCCTGCCGCCGACATTCCCAGGCCTTCGGATGCAACTCCTGGGAGGTCAAACTCTGACTCTGCCCTGGTCCGAAACCCAGTTTCATCCGGCTCCATCCAGCTGAACCCGGCTTCGTCCCGCTCAATCTGGCTCAATCCCGCTGAATCCGCGGCCTGATTGGGCGCGCGCAGCAGCCCTCCAGTGGGGTGAATTCTCCCCGATCCCTCCGGCGAAGACCTCCTGGTGGTTGCCTCCTGGCAGGCCCCCCAGAAGCCCGCGGCCGGCCGCCGGAGGACGCTCAGCTGCGGCCACGTCTACGCCGCGCTCGCGGGGAACGGGGACACCCTGCTCCCTGTGCGCCCCCCCTCCGCGAGGGCGGCGCGCCAGTTCGGGCTCCGCTCCCGTGCGCCCCCGGGGACTATAGGCTCGGGGGACGGCCGAGGGCTTGGCATCGCTCGGACGCGGGCACGTTTTTCACGGCGGGGACCATGGAGGAGCCTTGTTCAGCGAGCGAAGAACGGTACAAAATAGACTTTTTCGCCGTCGGGGACACCTGCCCCAGGGCGGAAAGTTTATACTCCTACGGTGCCACCGCAAGGGCTCCGGCGGACTCAGCGCGCTCCGCTCTTTCCTCCACCTTCCTTCGCCGGGGCCCTCCCTGTGCCCCTGGACCGCCGGAAGACGCTTCGAGGCTCAGGGCAGGCCCTCGGGGAAGCCTCCAGTCCAGGGCCCAGAGGTATACACCACCACCACCTCCCTCACCCCCTCCTTCTCCCAGGAGAGAGGAGAGGAAGAGGAGGGTGGAGGAGGGAGGAGGAATCGACGTGGTGGTGGTGTATACTTTTGGGGCCCGCATCCAGGGCCCAGTGCCGGGTGTCCCGCAGGACCCGCCTCCCGCGTGCCAGCCGCCCCCGGTGCTCGCCGTGCCTGCGCGTCCCGCACTGCTCCCTCGGCTCCCCTCCCCTCCCCCCCGCCGCGCCCCGCCCCGCCGCCCCAGGGGGCGCCCCCGCCGCCCCCCCGGGAGGCCCCTGCGCCGTGCCTCCCCCCCCCCCCGTCCCGTTGCCCTCCGCCGCGCTGCGGCGGGGCGGTGGCGGCCCCGAGGGGCATCCCCGGCGTGTGGGTGGTCCAATGGATGGTTACCGCCTCTCCGCCATCTCTTCCTCGCTTCAATACCTCCTCCTTCTCCCTGATGATGATGGTGATGATGATGTTGATGATGATGGTGGTGATGATGGTGATGATGATGATGCTGATGGTGGTGTTTGTCGGGGTGATGATGGTGATGATGATGATGATGATGATGATGATGATGATGATGATGATGGTGATGATTGTGATGATGATGATGATGATCATGATGATGATGATGATGATGATGATGATGATGATGATGATGATGATGATGATGATGATGATGATGATGGTGGTAGTGGTGCTGGTGGTGCTGGTGGTGCTGGTGGTGGTGGAGATGATGATGCTGCTGATACTGATGCTGATGCTGCTGCTGATGATGATGATGATGATGATGGTGGTGGTTGTGGTCATGAGGTTCACGATCACGATGATGGTCGATGACGATTACGATGACGATGACGACTACGACGATGATGATGGTGATGATGATGAGGATGAGGATGATGTTGATGATGGCAATGCTGCTGTTGATGACCATGATGCGGATCATGCTGCTGATGATGACGATGATGATGATGCTGATGATGATGATCATGATGGTGATGGTGATGGTGAACATGCTGATGATGATGATGATGATGATGATGAGGAGGAGGAGGAGGAGGAGGAGGAGTATTGTGATGCTGATGCTGATGCTGATGCTGATGCTGATACTGCTGCTGATGACGATGCTGATGATGATGTTGATGCTGATGATGATGCTGATGCTGATGATTCTGAGGATGCTGCTGCTGCTGCTGCTGCTGCTGCTGCTGATGATGATGATGATGATGATGATGATGATGTTCTCTGGTGCTTTGCTGCTGCGCGTGTGTCCGCGCAGCGTGACAGAACGGCGGTCGGCCCACCCAGGGGTCTCCGCGAACATGGCTCCAGTCTCGCTTGCAGAGCTCTGTGGAGCACACAACCCCCTGCCTCCTCTCCCTCCCTGCCCTCGCGTTCTCGTCCTCGTCTTCCTGCCCTCGTTTCCCTGCCTCCTCCTCCTCGCCGCCCCGCTCGTCCCCGCCGCCCCCCGCCCCTTGAGGGCCAGACAACGGCGCCGTCGTCCCCGCCGCTGCCGTCGCCGCCGACCTTCTCCCGTGCGGTCCTTCGCCTGCTGCAGTCGAGCATCTGATTGCTGCCGGGCCGAGGCACAAGGTCGAGGTCGCTTCGGGGAGGGTACCCTGTTGTTCTTCGTATTTGTTGAATGCCCTTGTTCAGAGCCCCGAATCATCAGGGGTAACTCGGGTCAGGGATAACTCGGGTTCGTTTTTCGGGAATCCAAACCCGAGTTACCCCGGACCCGAGTTACCCCGGATAACTCGGGCGTCCAGAGCCCCGAATCATCAGGGGTAACTCGGGTCAGGGCTTACTCGGGTTCCTTTTTCGGGAATCCAAACCCGAGTTACCCCGGACCCGAGTTACCCCGGATAACTCGGGCGCCCAACTTGTGCATCTCGGGGGAGAGTTTCCTCGAGTGATCTTATGGGCTCCGCTGTCGCCGCCGTCCTCCTCCCGTGCGGTCCTTCGCCTGCTGCAGTCGAGCATATGATTACGGTCGGGCGGAAGTACAAGGTCGAGGTAGGCTCGGGGAGGCGAGCTGGACTTTTACGAAAGCCGAATATATTGGATTTGAGTTGGATGATGTGACCGGCCCGCTTTGTGGGCAAGGACCCAATGCGTTGCTGTGCAGGTTGTGGGGCGGATGTCGAGCGGGCGCCTCCGAAAGTCGCGGTCCACAGGAGGCCTGCGAACCCTAGGCGCCACTCCCGGGAATTTCAGCATGGACGCTAGCGATGCCAACGCTGCTTCAAGACCTCTGGGTCTCAGCTCCGCCTGCTCCCTGGGGGGGGTCCTGGTGCAGCGGCGGGGTAGAATTTCGGAGAAATGGATGGCTTCAGTCATGTTGCGATGGGTTTGCCGTGTAATATCGGGGAGACCTAGCTCATAGGCACGCACTGCGCCTGTTTCTGCAGCCTTGATTTTTTGGTGGAGCGAGTCCAATATGTCAGCAGGCGCGCCCGCGAGACGACCCCACAGAACAAGAGTCTGTGGAGGTGAGGTCTGAAGGGCCTTCACCCGAGGTGCAGCTCAACGATTCCGGTGGAGTCAGAAAGAGTCCGAGGTCTGGAGCAAGATTGATGTAGCGTTCTGCTCCAGGTCATTGCCTACTTCGCTACAGTCGAGTCTTCCTGGCGGCAGTTGTTGTTGTTGTTGCTTCTGCTCTCCCCTTTCCTCGTCCTTCTCCTCCCTCCGACCTCCTTCACCCCCCCTCCTCATCTTGCCAGTCTCTCCTTGCAGCTGTTCTCTGACTCCAGCCGCGCCTGCCTCAAGGTGACGTTGCGAAGTGCAGTCAGGGCACAGAGCGGCCGTCACGAGCTGCCATGGCGGCAGCTGTGCCGCCGGAGATGGCAACGGTCTTGGCGGCCCAGCTCGCTGCGGTAGCTGGGGCGCGAGCGCTGATGACGCCGAGTGCGCGGCCTGCCTCGAAGAAGGACACGCCACGGGAACACGCACCGTCGGAGCCCCTCGCGGCCTTCTTTTGGATCGGCGCCGGGCGCCCCCGGGCGGCGACTCCAGCGCCGCCCCCTGGCGCGCTCCGCGCGCCGGGGGAGGAAGCTCCCGAGGCGCCGCGGCGCCCGGCGCCGATCCAAGACAGCTGCGCGGAGCCCCGGAAGTTCCTGTTTTTGGGGTCTGTTCGTCCTCCGTTGCGGGCGTCTTGCCTGCGCAGGCTTCGGCCAAGGAGCTGTGCGACAGGTGGTTTCTGGCCTACGCGGCCGTGTGGATTCCCTGCTTTGCCGCCATCGTCGGGCTCGAGCTGTACCTCGCGTGGGGTAGGTGGCACTACATGGCCGTGTGCGCCGGACTCGCGGCGCCACTGCTGCTGCAGCCAGTTCTGGCACCCAGCCTTACAGGCGAGGCTGGCGTGGACCTTCTGGAGAGGTACTCACTAAAAGCGAATGTGTGGATCGCAGTTTACTCCTTCCTGGGGAATTATTGGGGAACGCAGTACTTCTACAGCATCCTGGGGTGCAGGTACACATTGCCGTTTTTGCCAAGCCATCAGCTCAACGGCGTCCCCGTTTGCATGTACTTCGCGACTCACTTCTATTGTAGTGGCCTTCGGCCAGTGCCGCCGATCCGGGTCGCTCGGGGTTATTCTCCAGACGCAGAAATTATGGGCGCACACTCAAACGCACACACACAGTCACACCACTTAACCTGCGCCGCAGACATGCGCACACAGCATCACCCACACACACATACTAGTTGGGAAACGCACCTGTAGTACTAGTAGTAGTATTAGTAGTAGTAGTAGTAGTAGTAGTAGTAGCAGTAGTAGTAGTAGTAGTAGTAGTAGTAGTGGTAGTAGTAGTAGTAGTAGTGGTTGTGGTAGTAGTGGTAGTAGTAGTAGAGGCCTCGTTCCGCGGCTTCTCTCGACTTCCCGCGGTCTCTCTCAAGTTTCGAGCACGCGGTGAGTTTCACGATATATGTGTGTGTATGTACGCGTGCATGCATGTATGCATGCATTGATCATGTGTGCCTGTGTGTAGGTACGTATGTATGTATGTATGCTTGTGCGCGTATGTATGTATTTAGTTTGTATGTATGTTTGTATGTGTGTATGATAATATGTGTGTATGTGTGTGAATGTAAGTATGTATGTCTGGAAGATTGTTTTTCTATGTATGCAAATGTGTTTAAATGTAGGTATGTATGCATGTGTGTATGGATGTGCGTTTGAAGAGCGAGGATGTTTCAAAGAAGAGGCACTCGGTGACGCGATCGTTGAGGGATAGGAGTGAGGTCGCAGAGGAGGAGGAGGAGAATGAGGAAGAGGCGATAACTTGAAGGAAAACGATGAGACGGAGGACATCCTGCCGGTGGCGCCCTGGGCGGTGCCGCGGAAGAAACCGGGGGCCTGCCGGAGGCAGTCTGGAGGCCTCTGGGGAGCTGTTTTGGGGCCTCTTGGAACCTCTTTTGGGCCTCTTGTGGGCTTCTTGGGGCCCCTTGGGGGTCTCTTGGGGCCTCCTGGGGGCCTCTTGGGGCGGAAAGCTCGGTTCTTTCGGTTCGTGGTCCCCCTCTTGGGCCCCTCTTGGGGCTCTCTTGGGGCCTTCTTGGGCTGTCCAGAGGCCCTCTTGGGCCGTCTTGGGGCCCTCTTGGGCCGTCTTGGGGCTCTCTTGGGCCGTGTTGGAAGCATCGTGGGCCGTCTTGGGACGGACTTGGGGGCCTCTTGGGCCGTCTTCGAGCGTCGGACGCCCGAAAAGGCAAGAACGCTAAAAACCCTGAAAAAAACCAATGAAAATCAACGATTCTGGCCTCTTGGGGCCCTCTTGGGAGGCCTCTTGGAAGCTTCTTGGGGCGTCTTGGAGACACCTTGGGCCGTCTGGAGGCCATCTCGGGCGTCTTGGAGCGATTTTTCGGCGACTCGGGGCCCTCTTGGAACCCCTTGGGGGTCTCTTGGGCCCCCCCCCTCCTCCAAAGCGCCGGAAAAAGCGGAGCATGGCGCCCCCCCCCCCCCTATCTTCCACTCCCCCGGAGCGGCCCCGGGGTTCGCCGGAAACTCGCACCCCCCCCCCCCCCCCCACCCCCCCTTCCCCGGCAGAGCCACCCCGGCGACCCCCCCAGAGGCTGAAGCTCAGCCTCGAGGCTGTAGCTGAGACTCCTTGAAACTCACACGCCGGATCGGCGGATTTCTGTTTCTACCACGCCCTTGCCAATCAGGCTTATCGTTGGCTGCTGGGTGGATATCAGAAAGACGCGTGGCGCACTGCGTTCTTGGTTGTCTGGACGCTTGCACTGTCCTACACTGTCGCGTTTTTGGAAACATTTTCGATCGCAGCTTTTCCATACTACACCTTTGCGGATCGCGGAAAGGTGTACACGATCGGTTCCGCGTTCTATGCACTGTATCTGGTCGTGTCGTTTCCAATGTTCTGGCGGCTGGGTGGCACCGACGGTGCCAGGCACTCCGTGTACGATGCGTGTCTGGAGGCTGCAGGCACCTGGATGATCATAATGAGCCTGCTGGATGCGGTACGGCTCTGGGTTGGGGCGGACTTCTCCATGCCAGGATAGTCCGCTGCGAATCGCTGATGACGATCGTCGTGCATCTGTCGCCGCGGCTCGAAAAAAGCAGTCCCGAAGTCGACGGATGACACATTGAATCAATATAGACTTTCAAAGCTATGTGCAGATTTCTCGGATCTGCGGTGGGCTTTATTGGCGGCGACTTTGGCGCCACCCCTGGCGCGCTCCGCGCGCCAGGGAGGTCCAGCGCAGATCCAAGAAATCCGCGCGGAGATCCAGAAGTTAGTGTTTATATAGCGTTTCTTCTTCTAGCACAGTTTTCGCGTCATGGTTGGGAGCTGAACGCCTTCCGAGCGGCTCCACGACCCTTATCTGCAAACGTAGCACACTTCCCCCTGACCCCTAGAGCCCCGAAAAGCTCGCTGGAACATGCCAAACCGCCATACATGTTGCACCAGAAGCATCAGAGCATCTCGATTCCCGAACCTCGATCCACGACGACGACGAACAACGTTGCATTGCTCTTGCAGTTCGCTGTAGGATCCACAGCCGAAGCATTTTGCCGAGAACCACACGCAGGATTTCCTCTCCCGCCTTATCCGCGAACGTCCAGGGGGTGGGAAGGACGAGGGCCATCGTTTCGAAGCTTCTGCCGTCCTTTTTGGATCCCGCCCCCTCCTCGTTTCCCTCAGTGGTGCCTCCTCCATGTGGATAAACTAAACACCGTTCCCATTCCCTCTCCCCAGACCCCCGATGTCTTGATTTTTTCGCAACGTCGACTTGGGGGCCGGCTTTTCATCCTGAGGTGTTTTTTGTTGTCCTGGGGCCGGCTGAGGGCCCCCAGGGGCGGAAAACAGCTCAAAACCGTTTGTCGCGATGTTTTCCCGATTCGAGGGGGTGCTGCCAGACGCGCTGGGCCCCTGGGGGTCCAGCAGCGCGATGCGTGGGCATTCCAGCCAGACCACGCTCCTCTGGGTGCTGCCAAGCTGTAGTTCCCCGGGACCCTGGGTAGTCCAGAGTCCAGATGAGCGGCGGCCGACGGGCATCCGCGCTAGACCTCGCTGGTCCGATGGGAGCGGGTGCTGCCGAGCATAGAGAATTGTCAGAGCTGCGGGGGGGGGGGGGGGGGTCTTGCACTGTCCCTGGGTGTGTGGCCGAAGTGCGGTTCCGTGGTGCGGGTTCACGTTTTGTTGTTTGTGCCCTACCTAGGCTCTGCCTAGAAGGGTTCTTACTTTAGAGCTCAAAGGGCAGGGCAGTGGAAATCGCCCCGGGCGGCTCCCCCAGGATCCGCCCCGCGGTTCCCCCAGTTACGTCCCCTTTACTTAGCGTTGCTTATCTCATCTTAGCATAGCCTAGATTAGCTTAGCCTAGCTTAGCCTAGCTTAGCTTAGCCTAGCCTAGCCTAGCTTAGCTTAACGGAGCTTAGTTTAATTTAGCTTAGCTTAGCTCTACTTAGCGTAGTGCAGCGCAGCGCAGCATTAGCATAGCATGTCATAGCATATCATAGCATAGCGTAGCATAGCGCAGCATAGCATAGCGCAGCATAGCATATCATAGCATAGCAGCGCGCAGCATAGCATATAATAGCATAGCATAGCATAACATCGCTTAGCTTAGTATAGCACAGTGCAGCATAGCAAAACATGGCATAGCATAGCATAGCATAGCATAGCATTTCATAGCATAACATAGGGCAGCACATCGTATCATAGCATAACCTGGCGCAGCATAGCATAGCATCGCATAGCGCAGCACCTCATACCATAGCATAGCATAGCAGGGCATAGCACAGCGCAGTTTAGCATATCACATCATATCATATCGTAACATAGCATACCACAACACAGCATAGCATAGCATAGCGCAGACTATCATAGCATAGCACAGCATAGCATAGTGCAGCTTAACATGTCATGTCATAGCATACCCTAGCATAGCATAGCATGACATAGCGCAGCACAGCGCAGCATAGCATAGCATAACATCGCATAGCGCAGCATAGCATAGCATAGCATAGCATAGCGCAGCTTAGCATATCACATCATAGCCTAGCATAGCATATCATAGCACACCATAGCATATCATAGCATAGCATAGCGCAGCATAACATAGCATAACATAGTACAACATCGCATAGCATATCATCACATATGGCAGCACATCGTAGCATGTCATAACATAGCGCAGCATATCAAACCATAGCATAACATAGCTTAGCGCAGCATAGCATACCACAGCAACGCATATCAGAGCATAGCATAGCGCAGCTTAGCCTAGCATATCATATCATAGCCTAGCATAGCATATCATAGCATAGCACAACATAGCATAGCATAGCATAGCGCAGCATAGCATAGCATAGCATAGCATAGCGCAGCCTTGCATAGCATAGCATAGCATAGCATAACATAGCGCAGCCTAGCATACCCTAGCATAGCATAGCATAGCGCAGCATAGCGCAGCATAACATAGCATAGCATCGAATAGCGCAGCATAGCATGGCATAGCATAGCATAGCATCAAAGCAAAGGCAAAGCAACAGCAGCAACAGCAAGCAAAGACGGCGTTTACCGTTACTACTAATATTGCTCTCTTCGGGGCTCCAACTCCTAGGTAGGGTCGCCCTGGGATAATGTTTTGTTATTCTTGCCGGCCCCCCGCCGCCACCCACTCGTGACCCACTCCGCGACCCACCCCCGCCCCGCCCCGCGACCCACGGGCTTGTTGTGTAATGTGGGCCTCGGGAAGCAGCGTCGGCCGATAGGCAGAGGTGGAGAGTGATATATATATATATATATATGTATCGAGAGAGAGGGGGAAGACAGTTAAGTAAAGATGATCTGTGTATACATACATGTAATTCCGTACTTCTGAGCAGGTATATCTATATATATATATATGTATAACAATTGTTCTACCTCTACATAGTCTTGTGCTAGCTTTGTGCACACATGTATGTATGCATGCATGTATGTACGTACGTATGTACGTACTTACATACGTCTGTTTGTACGCATGTACCTTTATATATGTCTATAGGTATGTGTATAGCGGGAGGGCGGCAGAGGGAGACAAAGATAACGACAGTGATGGCGAATTGTCCGAAGGGAGAGCGGCCAGGATCCACGTCGAGGTGTTGCATGGGTCAGGAAGACGGAAAGGAACGAGTGAGCGAGTGGGTGGGGATCCAATGGCAGGAGAGAGCGAGAGAGAGAGAGAGGGAGAGAGAGAGTGATAGAAAATGCGTCAGAGAGAGGGGGAACCGCGATAGAGAGAGAGAGAGAGAGAAAGCGAGAAAGCGAGAGAGAGAGAGAGAGTGAGAGTGAGCGAGAGCGAGAGGCGAGACCGAGTGCAAGGTAATGCTCGCCTGCAGCAACAAGAGACTCGTTGCGGTTGAAGCCGCGGCAGGCTGAACCTTGGGAAGGCAGAGAGAAAGACAGAGAGAGAGAGAGAGAGACAGACAAGTTGGCGGACGGACGGGCAGACAGAGAGGATGAGAGAGAGAATAAGAGAGAGAGACAAATAAACAACATCATCATCATCATCATCATCAACAACCATAACACCAACAAGAGAGCGATAAAGAAAGAGAGAGAGAGAGAACGCGAGCAAGAGAGAGAGAGAGAGAGATCTTGACCACCAGCGCAGGTACCACCACCTCACGTCTGCGCCTGAGCGTCCAGAGCCCTGCAGACGGGGGGCATGCGCCGTCGCAGCGCCCGCTGATCTCTTGATCTTGCAGCAGCGGCGGCAGGAGCAGGGGCATTGGCAACCACGCATCCCCCTCCGTCTACTCCTTCTCCCGCCACGAGATGGGAGGCGATGTGACTCGTCGCCCACGGCAGCGGGAGCAGGTTGGCCAGCTGCCGCGACGCCTGCACGCTCGATCGACCGTTTGTGGGCACCGCGGGGGGATTTACCAGCCGGAGCCATTCGTGGGCTTTTGGCTAATCTCTCGATCCATCCGATTCGTCCTCCCGCGGCCTCCTCCCCCCCCTTCCTCACGGCCTATTTTTTCCTCTTCTGCCTTGCCTCGATCTCCACATTTCCACCTCGTAGCTCTCATCCACAGTACCGTCCTCCTGATCATCCTTCTGACCCTTCCTCTCGGAACTGGGGTGATGAACCCGCCGATTGGAGACATCAAGAGTCCTGCTTGGGGAATTGGCGCGGCATCTTGCATTTCTGTGCGTGTGTCTTGCCGAGGCATCCGTGAGATCATGGCCGCGGCCAATCATACAGTGTCTCTCGGAAAGGGAACCGTGTTATTTCGGACGCCGCACAGTATCTTTCTCAGGCAGGAAGCCTGGTGGTATATACATATATATATATATATATATGTATATACATTACTCTATATATATGTATATATGTTCCGCAAGCTTGCGGAGGAGGAGGAGAAGGAGCAGCAGCCGGCACTGTCACTTACTCTGCTCCTTTCTTGGCACTCAGTGTTTTCCCATAATTTCCTGCACCTCCTTCACCGCACGGGCCTTCCGCCTAATCCGCCTTACTGTCCCCAGCACTGCACTAAGTCGTTTCGTTGTTGCATTATGTTGCGCACGAGCGCTGCGAGCATCGATGCTTAGAGTGTGGCCAGCGTCAAAAGGGCAGCGGCAGCGGCAGCAGCATAAGCGACAGCAGATGATGATGATGACTGAGGGGCGAGCTGCGAGGCACGGCGGTGAGACTGTGGGAGTGCGCCTCCTCCTGTTCCTTGTGCGTCCGCCCCTCGAGTCGAACGGGACAAAATCAGCGGCGAGGGAGGAACCGGAAGAGGAACAGGAGGAGGGAAGGGGTGGTGGTGGTCACTGCATAAGGGAAACAGAATCCCGAGCAGATCAACACGCACCACGACCACGACGACGCCGACGACGACGACGACGACGGAGACGAGGCGCGCTTACGATCCGCACCGAAGCACGGATTTGGGAACGGGCCCACCCTGCAGGTTCGGTTAAACAGCACATCGTTGAGCGGTGCTGCAGCCTCCCCTGAGCACAGGCCCCCCCAGAGCATCAGCCAGACAAGTCGGGTTTGCACCCTC